AAAGAAGGAAAAAAAGAAACCTCCCAATAGTTCACACAGCTACTGAGGCACACAGCCAGGGTTCAAATTCAGCTTGATGGGGCTCCAAAGCTAAGATGTCTGTCATAGGACCACCAACTTCTAAACCCATCAGGGCTTTGATTCGCATGGCCAAATCTTTCAGGTAGGAAATAAGGTAGCATTTTGTTGTTGTTATTATTTTGCTAACTAATGATCCTTGGACATAACTCTAATATCTGGAAAGTGAGTAAGTTTATTTGCAGGTGTTTCTAGAAGATCAGGAGACAGTGCTGAACTGTGATCTCAGAAGGAAAAGGGCAGAAAAGCTAACACTAACCAGGAGCTGCCATGTCGTGGCTCCCACGCTGGACCTTCACCCATGATTCTTCCCTCACCCTTCTGGTATTATTTGCATGCACGCACACACACACTCACTGAGACAGGGTTCTAAGAAGCTAAATAACCCATCTCTGGTTACACAGTGAGAAGGAAAAGAATTAGAATTTAAAACTAGTTCCAGGGGTGCCTGGGTGGCTCAGTCAGTTAAGCAGCTGCCTTTGGTTCAGGTCATGATCCCAGGGTCCTGGGATGGAGTCCCACGTCGGGCTCCCTGCTCAGTGGAGAGTCTGCTTCTCCCTCTCCCTCTGCCTACCTCTCTGCCTACGTGTGCTCTCTCTCTGTCAAATAAATAAATAAAATCTTTAAAAAAAAAAATAAATAAAACCAGGTCTGGCTCCAAAGTGAGTGCTCTTTCTACCACACTCAGCTACCAGGTGGCGCTGACTGAGAAACCCCAGGCACAACACCCAGAAACGTCTGCACCTGCTCATCCTGGGACCCATTCCTCTCCCACAGTCTTCTACTGGGTGGCCTAGTGCCAGTTTTATAAATAAGAATCGTGTCAGCTCTTCTCCTTTGATGGCAGGTAACGAACCTGAAAATCTACATTCCCATCCTCCATCAAATTCCACTCCTGGAATAGGCACCATTTGACAAGCTGCATGTGTAGTGACACAATCCAATAAAAATGAAATGAAGAAAACAACTTTATTTCTTAGCACTTCCAGGCCTTCCTTATTTGAATTGTGAATACTCCAGTTACGTCTCTTACATGGCCTGTCGAGAAATGCACTTTATGGTGACATATGCCCCTGTGTGACTTGTATTTGAAACTATGTGACTTCCTTTCAAAAGCCTGGGTTAAAGAACCAGGGTGATAGGTTTGTGAGAAATTCTAAAGGGCCTCTTAAACTTTATGCCACTCTCGCTCTTGACAGATGACCCATATTGTCAGGTGTTCTTTTTTAGGAAATAAAATATCTTCCCCAGGAACCATCTAACTCTTGCCAAAGGAGCAAACCCCGCCCCCCCCAAAACCCTTCTAGTCTGTAATATCATATAATAATATGAGAAATGTACTTATGATCTAATGTCAAATAACAAAGCAGCATATGAAACTATGAATTAGTATGATCTCAAACACATATCCTGAAAAGTCAGTCCAGAAGGAATTCACTTAGAATGTTAATAGCAGTTAATTTTGATTAATGGGATTAGGCATGCTTACTTTGTCTCTTTTAATTCTCAGGATAATAAGAGTATATACCTTCTAAAAAGTCAAATAAAATTACTAAAAAAAGAACATAATTTTTTCAGAAAGGGGCTTAGCTATCATTCAGTATTTCTTTAGCACCAAAAATCACTGTATGAAATTATAAACTTTAACTAATACCAGACACAAAGATTGTTCAAGAAAAGAAAGTTATATGCCAATCATGCTGATGAATATAGATATCAAAATCCTAAGTAAAATATCAAAAAATCAAATCCATATATAGAAAATGATACATCATGAACGAGTAGTAGTTACTTCAGAAATGAAGATTAGAAAAATCTATCAGTAAAATCCACAATATAAATTGAGAGGAAAAATACGTATAATCACTGAAATTAATATAAAAAAGCATATGATAAAATTCAACATGCAAACTCAGAATTTAATAAAAAAATACTTCCTAGACAATGATAAGTGAAGAAGAAATTATAAAAAAAAAATCTCTAGTAAACTTTAAGGATCACACAGGAAACTTAGAAGCATTTCCATTAACTGAAGATCAAGTTAAGCATACCTCCTATCACTAAATATTGTACTGACAGATCCAGCCAATGCAATAAGACAAGAAAAATAATTACTTAAGGATTAGAAAGGAAAACAGAAACCTACTTATGAGGTTATATGTTGTCTCCATAGAAAAATCAAAGAGGAATTGGAAGAATTAGTAACAAAGTTTAGTAATGCTATTATATTCAAGATTCAAGGTCAATACATAAACTGTTAACATTTCCTTTTAAAGTTCTACTTATTTTGGCTCAGTCAGCAACATTTGCTTAGTGGAATACTTATTGTTCCACAGGAAAAACTGAAGAGTAAGAAATAAATTAATCCTGTTATGAGCACATTCTCTCCCTTTTTTAATGTATGTATGTGCTTTCATGGTGCCTTGAGCCAGAGAAGTCTATCAAGAATGCATATTGTTTATCACTGCTACATAACTATGAACAATTATAAAATCTTACTTTGGGACAAATCAGCTATACACTTTCTAAGATCCCCTTGGTTCTAGAATGGGATAAGAGAAAACAGGATAATGATGATGATGAAGATGATGAAAATGAAGAAGAGGAAGAGGAGGAGGAGAGCACAGAAATGGTAGGAGAGAAACGGAGAAGAGAGAGAGGAGAGAAATGGAGAAAAATGACAGGGAAGAAAGGAGATGAGAAGAATTAAGGAAAGAAGGATAGGAGAAAAGGGAAGGAAAAAGAGAAAAGGAAGAGGAAGAACATACATAAAGACTCTTTGTTGGGGAGCTTGGGCAGCTCAGTTGGTTAAGCATCAGCCTTTGGCTCAGGTCACGATCCCAGGGTCCTGGGATCGAGCCCCACGTGGGGCTCCCTGCTCAGTGGGGAGCCTGCTTCTCCCTCTTCTCCCCTGTTTGTGCACTCACTCTCTCTGTCAAATGAATAAAATCTTTTATAAAAAGTGTCTTTGTTGATCCTTTAATAAATGCCAAGTACTATACTAAGTATTTAATCTGCCTTATCTCAATTATTCTTCAAAGTAAGCCTCTGAAGTTTAATATTATATCCTTACTTATAGGAGAGAAAACAGATGCTCAGAGAGGTTAAGTAACACTCCAAGGTCACATGGTTAGGAAGTGATATAGCTAGAATTTGAATCCAGGTCTGCCTGCCCAGACTCCATGCATGGTATTGGCCACTTGCAAGCAGATATTCCTGGAATATGTATTATGCTGATTTTAGAGTGTTGTAAGACATGAAGATGAGGAGGTTCTAAAAAGGTCACCTTCATGCTCCCATTCCAAATCTTCAACTAAGCCAATGTTCTGAAAACCTGAATCCTCATTTTAAGAATGCTCCTGGTTTTGCATGTTCAATTTAAGAATGAAAAGATATTCAGTAAGATACAATTTTTAATGCATTAAGCATTCAAGAGCACAAGTTTGGTGGAAAGGTTAAATTTGAAGCAAAAATATAACTTGTCATTTTTCAGTGAAAAAGCATTTGAATTCTGGTACATTATCATGCTCTGCAATCTTTTTTTTCCCCCATGTAGCAGTTCTCCCAAGACCTGTCCTCTCACTGACTTGCTTTCCTTCTATTATTCTTAGACCATGATGCATAAAATACAAGGTTTACATTACGTTTTAGGAAATGAACTAGACTACTTCCAAAATATTTGTGTTTCAAATAAACATCCAACGCAAAATTTACCATCCTTGCTGAGGTTTTGGCTGTCTGCAAGCTGCATGTGTATTACATTTATGTCCCTTGCTTCCTATAGAGTGTCAAACAAATGCCATCACGAAACATGACTGGGCAGACACAGCAGTGTCTCAAACAAATCACTGCCTATACAAAGCAGCTAAGTGCATCCCGGTTTGGAAGTCCATATTGACAGATTTCAAGACCTGAAAGAGAAGTCTATTAATCCTCCTCCATGCGGCTCAGAAGACGGAGGAGAGAAAGACAACACACAGCACGAAGTTGCTTACACCTAATTGCCACCGGGAGACAAACATCCTGAAAGGTACGGTCAATAAAGCCATGGGACCCAATTCTCAAGAAAACACAGAGAGTGAGAGAATTATTTTATTATCATACTATGCATGCCAGTCCTCATTAACAGATATTTACGTGCTTCCTCTGCATCAAGCACATTCCAAGTGTTGGAGTTAAAAGATGAACGAGAGGTCCAGCTCTGCAGGAATGCATAGTCCAGCCAACACACAAAAACACGGGAAATTTTTAATAAAGTGAGATTCTAACAAAGCCCTACCGTAGCAAAACAAACAAAAACAACTAACCCAGTGAGGGTTAGGAAAGGACTAACCTAGAGATTGAGTGGAAGCCAGTCTAGGAAACAGTGGAGAGTGACAAAGGATTTTGGGCAAGATTATTGTCCAGTGGTTCTCAAAGTCTGGACTCGGAAATAATAGTACCAGTACCATCGGGGAGTTTGTTCTAAATGTAGGCTTGGGCCCTACCCCAGACCTACCAAACCCGAAAATTCTGGGGATGAGACCCAACAATCTGTGTTTTAACAAGCCTTCCAGGTCATTCTGGTGCTGCTGGAATTTGAGAACTTTGGATACCTGCAAAAGTGAACCACAAGAGACAGAATGCCTGGAGGGGAAATAGGATTGGATAAGGAGGCAGGAGGATTAGGCAGAGATGTTGCTTGCTGGAGGGATGGGTAGAAGGCATACCAGGAAGGGTTTTATACATTATGAAAATAATTTTGGATTTTACCCAAAGCATAATGGAGAGCCATTAAATATACCATGAGTACAGAAAACAGCAAATAATACTGGCGCCCTTTAAAAAACATATGCCATCACAAAGATAATGCTATACATCATTCCAGAGATAAAACACCACACAGATAAAAAGCCAGTAAGAAAGGAACAAATCAGCCCTACCTTTCTTTCTGGAGTCTTTCTTGGCGCTGGTTTTCACAGCTACTTGAAGTTCTGTCTCAGTTGACATCCTACTAAATCCTTAGTCCACTTCACACAGATCCCGGGCCTCGGCCAGGCTCATGGAGGACTCCTCTCCAAGAGAATGACTCCTCCCTTCAGAAACAATGCTCCGAGCTGCACATCTCATTCACTCCTTCCGAGCACTGCGAATCAAGCCAAGAGAACGTTCAGAATCATCACCCTTTTGAGGTTAAACAGAAATTAGTCGGGGGTTGGGGAAATAAACTGCCAAACATACACCAGGAAAATCTTGGTCTCCATGTACAAACTGCTCACTCGATGTCATCAAGCCACTGACAGGGTTTGTAGCAAAGGGAATGAGAGGTCTACCTGAAACATGGTCTCTCAACCTAGGTACATAACTCAAAAGAGATCTTTTTAAAACTCTGGATTTCCAAGAAGGACAAAACCCAACTCTTTGTTTTCCACATGTCTTGCTTTCAAGCAGTAGATGCCACCCAGAAAATATAGCAAAGGAGTATTTCCTGAGCAACCCCAGGGAGACATTTCCAACAACAGGGCACCCATCCATCAGCCAAGCTTGATCAGAGTCATGGCGGCTAAAGCAGATCATAGAGAAATGACCTGTGGTCTGTCCCTTCACTGCCAGGCATCTGAGCGGACATGGAGTCGACATACAATTGGGCCCCAAGTGTAAGGTGACAAATGGGGCTGAGAAACTTTCCAGCAAGCCAATTTTTATGTCAGCTTTTTCCTCAGCTTTAAGAGCAGACAAGCATTTAACATGGGGAGAAAAAGAAAAGAAGCAGGCAGCCACACGTTCCATTTTTTCTTTCTTTAATAAATATGCATCGCACACTACTAGGTACTATTAAGTCCAGACTCTGTGCTGGGAAGAGATGATAATGATAATAATGATAATACAACCACTTCAATTACAGCTAGTATTTACTATGCACTAACTATATACTTTGCCCTCAGCTACTGCTTCACATACATTATCTCATTTGATTTCAGTTAAATTGAATGAATGTATTTCCTGTGTCGAGTCAACTGCCTTTCCCAGTGACCATCTATCTGATAGCTGTATCAAAGAGTTCAGTTGAAAATAAACATTTCACTAGTTATCCCATTTTTTAAAGAAAAGGAAGATAAAGCTACTGGAAATAGATCTTCAAACTGTGCAGCCATTTCTGAGCTCATCCCACAGACCCAGAATGGTTGAATCCAAAAAGGCTGACCCTGAATGTGGGTTTCTGCTCAAAAAGAACAGTAAACCGAAACTCTTAATCATGATAACCAAAGAAGGCTTAACTAGAGGTCTAATAAAAAAGCCACATAAAATTATAGGAAGGCTTTCTACCCTCTAGATTTGTCCACGTCGTTACAAATGGCAAGAGGTTATAATGCTGAGTGAGGTCAGTCAGAGAAAGACAAACACCATATGACTTCACTCATATGTGGAATTTAAGAAAACAAAACAAAGAAGGAAAGAGACAAACAAACACACTTTTATATACAGAGAACAAACTTGGGGTTACCAGGGGGGAGGTGGGGAGGAGAATGGGTGAAATAGGTGAAGGGTATTAAGAGTGCACTTAACTGTGATTGGCACTGAGAACAGTTGACTCGCTATATTGTACGCCTGAAACTAATATAACACTGTGTGTTAATTATACTTAGATTAAAAAAAAAAATTAGTAAAATTATAGGAAGGCCCAATAATAGGGAAATTCCCACCTTAGCCAAAGATACTTGGTTTATTTATTTTTTAACAAGTGATTTTTTTTAAAAGGATGCTGGCCCCGAATGAAAGATGTCTCAACAGTAGGAACTAAAGCTACAATTAAGGAAAATGCAAAACTGCCTTCCTAGAATGGGGTCCCTGAAATCAAACACAGAAAACAAGAACCTTCCCTGCCACCCTTATGCCATCTATCTGCACCACACCACTAGGCCTCACCCCCTTCCTAACCTCTCCTCTGAGAGAAGGCCACATTCCATGGGAGATGACAGAGCCACAAAGCTTGGCCATACATGGACATAATTTTATTAACGCTGATCATTTCCCTGCAACAAATATCTACTAAGGACCTACAGTGGGCCAGGTGCAAATGCTGGCTCATTCAGGTCAACAGACATCCACTGTGCAACCATCCTGGCTAAGAGTATGGATTCTTTATTCCTCTTGTCAAAGATGCTCAGTCTGATGGGGATGTCAGTCATGTAAGGGACTGCAATACACACAACTGGAACTAACACACACAAACACCGGGTGGGTATACTGGGGCACAAAAAAGCAAGTACTCTTACCGTTTGTCTCCCTCTCTGGTTTCTTCCTGTTTCATTTTTCCCTCCCTTCCCCTATGATCTCTTAATCTCAGGAAACAAACTGAACGTTGCTGGAGTGGAGGGGGGTGGGAGGGATGGGGTGGCTGGGTGATGGACACTGGGGAGGGTATGTACTATGGTGAGCGCTGTGAATTGTGTAAAACTGATGAATCACAGACCTGTACCCCTGAAACAGATAATACATTATATGTTAATAAAAAGAAAAGAAGCAAATACTCACCTTTGCTTGGAAGAGTCAATAAAACTTCTCCGAGGAGGAGCCCTATTCTGTGGGGTCTTGAAGAATGATTCTTATGCCAAGTGGATAATAAGAGAAAGGACTAATGGGCACTCAATAAGTACATGTATAAAAATATGAATGAATGGCTGTTTCTGACAGAAGGATCAGCTATGCAAAGACAAGGAGCCTTGCAATGAACAGCCCACCTAATAGAAGGAAATGTAAGCCTAGTAGGGAGGGGATGTACTTCATCTTTGCAACTGTAACTTGTGCGGCTACCTTTCTCTTCAGTCTTTCTCCTCGAGTCTCCCTTGACATTCTATTGACCCCTCAAGGTTGAGTTCAAAGAAGTGTCGTAGGCAGAAAGGTTTTCTGGTCTCTCTCTCAAATGGAATCTCTCCCTATAGATTATACTATGATCTGCTTTTTGGCCGGCTCCATAGCTTCAGCCACTTATAAGCAATGTGATATTGAGGAAGTTACTCGACCCCTCCTTGCCTCAGTTTCTCCATCGGTATAATGGGGGTAACATGGAGCTGTGGAAATGAGGTGTGACTACACATGTCACATACTTGGAAGAGTACCTGGCACACCTCCTGGAAAGCACTTAATAAAGATGAGGTGCTAATAATTTCCTGTGTTAACCGCTCAAGGTCACACGGCAGTGTGTGACTACAAGTCCATACTGTCACCCTCCCTTTATAGAAGAAGAAACTAAGGCAGGTTATGTCTCCCCTTTAAAGACACTGCAGGAAGAGAGAGAATCTACAGATATTTCCATCATGCTGGTTTTGCACACAGTAGGTACCTAACACATAAATAGTAAAACGAGCTGAAATATATAGATTTTACACAATTTCAAGCCTTCTTATAAGTTCGTATATAAAACTGGATGGGAACTGGGCCATTTTTTCCCCCTTCAACTTTGTAAAGCACAATACAGCACCTCTCCCTATTCTGTGGGTATCTCCAGCACTGAGTGTTCAACAAAATGTGATTGTGTTCAAGTGCTTATAAAGCATTACTTGTGGATTTCCGAAGTACACCCTGGTATCAATAATGAAACCAACATCATTTCAAATAAAAACCTGAAAAAGGAAACTGCAGGAAGAAGAGAACCTGCCATAGCCTGGGTCCTGGCGTCCCCTTTAATTTTCCAAAAGCCAGAGGTTGGGAAAATGCTGTGAAGTAACTCCAAATTATTTAAGAAATTTGTTTCTTTGTAATTAAGGAGATTAAAGTCCCCCAAGGGCCAGAAACCATGTGACAACTCAAATCATTTTCCCCCAGTAAAAGCTGTGAAACCCTATCAGTTAAATTCAGGCTCGCCTAGAATTTTGAAATGCTTCAATAATGTTTCTTTGCTCCACACAATCTGCGGTAATTTAATATTCCTGAAGTGTGTCAGGTTTTTTATAATGAGCTCTTCAAATCTAAATGTGAATTATGTAACATTCCACTACAGACATTCTGTCTAGTGAACTGCTTCTAAATGTAAAATCCTGTGTTCAGTGAGTTGGGGGGGGCTGGGGGGCGAGTTTGGGAGAGGGGGGCACAGAAACACCAAACCGCAAAGCAGAGAAAACACATAGGCCTTCAAAAAAAAGGCAGCATAAAGAGCATCCATAACAGAACACATACTAAAAACCTACTGTAACACAAAGTTGTGCTTTCTCTCCCCCCAACTATCCTTCTCATAAGATCCTACTGGAGAACAGCTAGCGTTTAGGAGGGCCCACTATTTGCCAGGTATGATACTATGAACTTCTTTTACTCAATCTTTCAACCGCTTGAAGTTAGGTTTTATTATTAGTTTTCATTTAACAAAGAAAAGCAGAAGCTGGTTTGGTAGCTGGTCCAAGGTCACATGGCTATTAAGTAGCACAGCGCAGGGCAGGGTAAAAACCACTCTTCTCCCCACTTTCCCTGAGAAGCCTCCCAGATGTCCATCAGCTGGAAAAACAAAATGTGGTCTTATCCATGCAGTGGAATATTATCTGGCCATAAAAAGGAATGAAGCATTGATATATGCTGCAACGTGGATGAACCTTGGCAACTGTAGGCCAAATGAAGTTAAACACAAACACACCATATGACTCCATTTATATGAATGATCCAAAACAAATACATCCATAGAGAGATGGAAAGCAGATCAGTGGCTGCCAAGTACGAAGGGAAGCAGGGAAGGGGGAGTGACTGCTTCGTGGGTGCAGGGTCCCGTCTAGGGGTGCTAAAAAGGTTTTGGAAGTAGATAGAGACAGTGGTTGCACAACATCATAAATGTAATAAATACCCATGAACTGTACACATTAAAATGGTCAATTTTATTTTGTGTGCATTTCACCTAAATTAAACAAAAACAAAAACAAGAAAACCTCCAAGCCGGGTCCCACACCCAGATTTAAGCCTTTGTGATATGCTACGAACACTGCAAATTCCATTCCAAAAGGATAAAACCAGACTTAAAACACAGACGAAGA